ACGCGTGGAGGAAAAGGTACAGGCGATATGGGATGCGCTTACGGACGCGGAGCACAAGCGCATGTATGGCAACGCAGCCGCCATCATGGCAGCAGAAGCAGAGGCAGCGGTAGCGGTTACACACACCGGCACAGACACGCCGGCACAAGCACCAACATCGCACCAGCAAAATCAGCAGCAGCAGCAGCAGCAGCAAGGCGCCTTCGATCGGAGGGCAGAGCAGCCTGCAGCCATGAGCAGTTATGGCAACACTGGCAGTGATGGCGATGAAGATGATGGTGTTGGCGTTGGCGGGGATGGCCGTGGTGGTGGTGGTGGTGGTGATGAGGATGGAGGTGTGGGTGATCGCAGACAGCTAGCGTCGTTTGGTCCCAGTCGCAGCAGCGGCGATACCATCATGCTGGGTGTGCCTGACGATGAGGAGGAGGACCAGGATCGCTACAACGGCCAAGGTGGTGATTGGATTCCATTCACAGATAATGGCCAGTGGCACCGGCAACAGCAGCATGGAAGGGGCGTTAATGAGGCATCATATCTTGCGCCGACGCCTGCGGGGTTTGGCCACGGCGACCCCAGCTATGCGGAGATCCCCACGCTCAGCGAAACGCAGCTCGAGCACGTGCCTGTGAGTGCAGTTGTGTTGTGATCTGGACTTGTTTATTGCACTGTGTTTGTTGTACACAGCATTCACAGCATCGCTGGTGCACACACTCACCCACGCACACTTGGCTCACACTCGCACACTTGGCACACACACTCGCACACTTGGCACACACACACACACACACACACACACACTCGCACACTTGGCTCACACACTCGCACACTTGGCACACACACACAAACACACACACACACACACACACACAAACACACACACACACACACACACACACACACACACACACACACACACACACACACACACACACACTCGCTCATTCAACCACCGCATGTGCAGCCTGCCACGCCCAGCGTGAGTCGGGGTGCACTGCAGCAAGCGAGCGTCGTCGCTGCGCCAAGCACGGATAGAAACGGAACAACCAACACCAGCAGAGTTGCCAACACTGGCAGCACTGGGAGGCGCAGTGGCAGACGACGGGAAGACGTGAGAGGGCGTGGAAGTGCACGTGGGAGTGGCAGATCGAGACCGCACAGTAAGGGCGAGGGCCCCGATGCAAGCTCCCGAGCATGCACCATCATGTGACAGTGTGCGTGCATGCGTGTGAATGAATGGGTCTGTGTGTATGTTGTGTGCGTGAACGTGAGTGAGTGTCTGCTTGCTTGGCGGCTTCTGTTCTCGATTGTGTGTTACTTTATGACATGACATGTGATGTTCATTAGGATGCTGTGTATTTGAAGTTGAGTTGCAGTGTGCATTCGGGAGCACACAATTATGTTGCAATTAAGACATAGAGAAATCAATATGCATTGAGGAGGCTCGAGAAGAAGGGAAGAGACATAGCAACAGACTCGGGCGCGCGTGCACACACACACACACACACACACACACACACACACACAAACACACGCACGCATACACGCACGCATACACACAGACACACAGACAAACACACACACAAAAAGTCATTCGCTTTCGCACGCCAAGCAAGCCAACAAAATAGGCACAGGCGGCGCTGAGTACAGCTCAGTAATCAGGACTTGAAATGGGAGAGAGCCACCCGGGATTGGCGAGACAAGCACTGTTTCCGTTGGTGTTCACGATCGTGCTCCAGATGCAACTTTGCTCTTATGCGCCAGAGTTTCGACAGAAGGTATCACAGGGGCGTGAGCGCGTGTGCGCTGATGACATGGTGCAGTGCGATGCAAGCGAGCAAAGTGGACAACAGTGACATACCACGCGCGCAGACTCCTCGCGAAGGTACTTGACGACGCCTGCGAGTGCTTCTGGGTTGACGCCATTGTTGCACAGCTTCACGCACAACAATAAGCTCTGGAAGACGCACGAGAAGAGTCAAGGTGAGAGTGCGTGACTGAGCGCGGGTGCATGTGTGCGTGTGGATGTGTGAATTTTTGTGTGTGAATGTGTGAATGTGTGATGTGTGTGTGCGTGTGGGTATTGGGTATTGGGTGTCGGTTGTGTTTGTGTTGCACTGAGCGTGATCACAGCATGTGATTGGAACGCACCTCCCTGTCCAACCCTGTGTTCAAGATCTGCGACACTTCAAACAAAGCTTCAAGTGGGGTGTGCAGTGCATGTGTGAGATGGTTCAATGAACGCATGGTATTGTGGTGGCCATGACAACGCTGTTGCTGGACAGAGCGGAAGAGACAGAGAGAGACAGAGAGAGACAGAGAGAGAGAGACAGACAGAGAGCCAGACAGAGACAGAGACAGGTCTTCACGCGCACACACACACACACGCATCCACACACACACACACACACACACACACACACACACACACACACACACACACACACACACACACACACACACACACACACACACACACACACACACACACACACACACACAC